AGTTTATTGGTACATTTTAGGTATACAGTACAGTTACATTAATTATGGGGATCTTGTATCTTTATAAGACAGGTCTTGTTTCTCATTTTTCCCCCTTTCCCTGCCCTCCCTTCAGCCCTCCTCCCCTCCTCCTTTATAAACACATTTCCATTTTTTTATTTTGTCATATTTTTTTCTTTTCCCTTATTAGTAATAAGGTGAATGACATCCTATTTTAATGTTATAATGAAAATCCAATGAAGGAAGTTTTGTTATTTATTTACCTTAACCATATTTTGTACTTTATGGGTAGTCAAGACAATTTCTTTTTACTAGATGTGGCCCACACAAGGTAAAGATTGGGCACCCCTGCTTTAGAGAGTCCTTGGATTCCAAATAGGCATACCAGGCAAACTCAAAGCCTTTGCAATGACTCCAGTTCAATGGCAGCGATGTCACCTATAGGCATTATCTTCATGGTTCAAAGTCCCGCCCCGAGTGACACTTCCAGCTTCCACCTGCTTGAAGCTCAGATGTGGTCTCTCTCACATTCCAGGTGCTCCCAAGATGCAGAGCAGGGAAAGCAGATGTCAGAGCTATTTAGCAACAGAAAGGAGAAAATTCCTCTGACATTTTCTGAAGATTGTCTTTACCTAAACATTTATACTCCTGCTGACTTGAAGAAGAACAGCAGCCTGCCTGTGAGTATGGGCACCACTGGTGGAGACTTGTGAGTTCCAGCATCTGGGATTTCGCTCTGCAGATGGGAAGGAGGGGAAGGCAGGTTGGGGTACGGGTACCAAGCCCATAATTGATTTTGGCAGACAGAGGCGGCATTTCATCACAGTAAGTACAAATACTCCTTACCCTATTTTTTTCTAGTGATCTCAGGCCTTTGGTGAAGTCTGCTCTACTTCTGAAATGTATATCTTCAATTTTTAATTTCCCTCATGCTAAGTGAAGGTGAAAAAGGATTATCAGACTTTTCCCTTTATTTACTCCAGAATTTTCCTTTGGTGAACTGGCAGCCTGTGTTTGTATTTGTGACTCGCTTGAATGTCTTCTCATTTCTATTTTTGTGGTTGGTACTATCCTGGGTTTGATTCCTGGGTTACTACTTCGATCTTCCTGTTATAGCTTGTCTTTGGGTTTTGAGTGTCTAATGACTCTGAGACAATTCTCATTTTCATAATACCATGAAGGACAACTAATTAGATCAATCACAGCACCTTAGCCCAAAAGATACAATAAGCAACACCAAAGCATCAAGTACAGTTTAGAAAATGGCAGTTTGTGGTAGTTATTAATCTATCACCAGAAAATTCACAGGTGAAAACTGATATGATTTGTACATGATTAAAATTGGGTTGTTTAGATTTAATATGTTGGGTCCAACACTGTTTGAGTTGGAAAGAGGATTTTCCATTTAAAATAAAAGTTTACTGTTTATTTTAGAATAAAGTTCTAAATTTTATGTTCCTACAGTGATGGAAAAGCAGACATAAATACAACATGGAATATACTGATTGCTGATGAGTACAAAGTGATATGGCACATTCGGAATGTGAATTTGCAGGTAATAAGAGAATGATTTCAAGGGGGTTTAACCTTTGACTGGCACCAGGTTCTGCAAGTATGGATGCCATAAATTATATAAAAAATTAAAACCATTATTTCCAAAGTTTTTTTTCAAATCCTATTCCCACTTATCCAAAATATTAAAAAATATTTTTGGACAGATTTAAGTAACTAAGAAAATACTCATGTTACAGTTAGGACAGTTATGTATAATCAAAGATGTACATCAAAATGCCTGAAAACTATGCAAAAATAGATGTCCAGGTCCCAGCTGAGAAGATTCTACTTATGTTGAAGAAATTAATGGACATTGAAAAATATGGTAAAAGCTTTTCAGTGATTAGTCTTTTATATTTATGATAGAAAAACATTGATTAAATACAAAATAGAAAAGATTCTAATAGTTATTTATCAACTTTTACAACTTGCACTTGTAAGGCAGGTGGCGGCACCACTCAGCTAACATATTTCTTTTGATTTAGATACCAAATATACTGTATTAGGGTTCAGACTAATATATTCATTCAAGTGTAAACACATCTTTAAAAACTTTATATCAAAATATAGTTATGTTCTAAGGTAGTGAGCAATATGGCAAATCAATTTATGGTGTAAATTTACCCACTCTGTTGCTATATAACATTTGGTTAATGTATTAATCTGCTCAGGATGTGTAATAGTTTGGATCTGAAATGTATTCCCAAAATCTGTTTTTGTTGATCTCTAATACAGTTCAGAGGTGGGGTTTTGGGGAGGTGATTCAGTCATGAAGGCTATGAACATATAAATGCACTAATTTGTTGATAAATTTATATCTTAACATGGTACTGAAAGGTGGCAGAAAACTTCCTAGGGTTTCTAGGCTTCCAAGTGGCCTAGCTGGAATATGTAAGTCATATTGGGTATGAATTTGAAGGGGATATTTGTCCCTACCTCTCTCTCCTCTCTCCTTTTGCTAATCTGTCATCCTAAGGTGAGCAACATAGCTCCGCCACAAACTCCTTATCATGATGTTCTGCCTCACTTAGACTCAGAAACCACAGAATCAAGTGACCATGGACTGAAACCTCGGAAACTGTGAGCCAAAATAAATCTTTCTTCTTTTAAATTAATCTCAGATATTTTGTCATAGTAGCATAAGGCTAACATGTGCTACCATAGCAGCCATAGGCTGAGTTTTGTGAAGAAGATAAATTAATTTTAGCATATTTCTGGAGACTAGAATTTCCAGATCAAAGTGCTGGTTGATTCAATTCCTGATGAATGCTCTTTTCCCTGCTTGTAAGTGGTTGCCTCCTTATATTCTCACATGGATGCTGTTCTGTACATGTGGAGAGAGAGGTGGGGAGAAAGAGAAGGAGAGACAAAGAGGAGAGCAGGGTATTGTGTGTCTCTTCTTATAAGGACACCAATTTTACTTGACTGGGACCTCATCTTTATGACCTGTTTAACCCTTGTAATCTACAAAAATGCTCTCTGGAGAAAATCACTTTGGAGGTTAAGTGTTTAGCATAAGAATGGGAAGAGAGGCAAAAATTCAGTCTTTTACAGATGGTTTCTAGGTTCAAGCTATTACATATAATGTCATGAATATTCTGGAATGTGCATTTATTTTAATGACTATATGCATGCATTAGTCTTGCATATGTACCTAACAGTGGCTTGTTGAGTAACATGGGTTCCATATTTTAACCACTGTAGAAAATGATTTATCAACCTGTAATCCTATGAGTAGAGTTAAGGAGTCCATCGCTCCTCATTGTTGTCAGCCCTTGGTATTCTCAGAAAGACTTGCACTCCTTGCTTCTTATTCACCACTGGACAAATCCTACATAATTTTTGTCTTGTCAAGACTATTGGTGATTCTTTTTCCTTTGGTATTTTTACAGCTAATCATTCATTCATTCATTCATTTATTTACATATTTTTTTATTCCTTTATTTTGTTGTCATTGTACTGGAGACTTAAGCCAGAACCTTCACACTGAGCTACAACACCCCAAAATGTTTTTTATTTTTTTGAGACAAAAGACTCGCTAACGCTGCTAAATGCCCAGGGTAGGCAACCTTCCTGCATCAGCCTCATAGAATAGAATTTGGGACATATTTTAACAAGATCCCAGCAATCCCTACCACAAATAATATCTAGTATATCATAAATAAATCTTATTTTTCTTACTTCTTCCAAAAAAGTAGGAAAACAAAGTTTTAAAGACATCCATATGGACAAACAGATAGGGAAATTTTTTAGAAGCTAGGTCAACAGAGCAAACAGAACTGCTTTTAGAGGAGAAATTGGAAGTCAATGAGTGGAAAGGTGGAAGACGCCAAATAACTATGACTGAAAAATTCAAACAAAGATTCTCTAGGATCACAGGTTACAGTATATATTCATGAAAATGGGGTGCAAATATCTTCCACTTACACAAGGAGTGCAGCTCTCTAAGATCCACCGCCAAGAAAAATTTCCCACATGTTCTCTGTGCTCAAATATTATAGTTGGAATGACTCCTAGGACCCTGATCACTAACTTAAACCTAAGCATCAGTGAGTGTTTGGCAGGGATCCACATAACTTGATTTCTGTCTGAAGATCTAAGTAGATTTCCCTTCTAGTAGTTCACTTCCCCAAAAGCAGTTGCTAAAGTAGTCACTGGAAAATTCCCCTAGAGCCAATCAAACTTAGCCCCTAGTAACAGGTACAATAACCAATGAAGTAGTGACCCTTAGACTAGGTTGAGGTGGGCCTCCTACCCTAAATAGAACTGCACCCCAGATTCCTTGGTGTCTCAGTCCTAGGCTCTGCCACTCCTGGCTCTTCACCACTTTTTCTTGCAATACCTACAAAACCTACTTTTGCTATGCGTAAATTTACTCATGCTTTGCACTGGTCTTCTCTGAGTCCTCTTCTTTCTATGTTGGAGAGAGAAACAAGTCGGGCTAGGCTGAGTCTCGGGACCCCTAGACCTCAGATGCACCTGATAACATATAGCCAAGGATTTTGCAATGATGTGTTCAGGCACTGTAAGAACAATCTATCCAAACAAACTCTGCTCTGAAAGTTAGTGCATTTCATGAATCTGATCTGTGTGTGCCAGCAGGCAGGGCCACTTGCAAGGAATATTGCAATGCTAATTTCAACATCAGAACTGGGATTGAAGGATACTAATGATTTCTTACAAAATCTGAGAGTCTAGGATTCTGGGGGTAATGATCCCAAGGGAAGCAAAGAGATAGGTCGGGTATTAATCTGCCACCTGAGAAGTTCTAAGGCTGTGAATTAAAATAAAACTCCCCAGCTTGTTCTTATGACTTCAAACCAATTCTTCCCACAGTGAAGGTAGCTGCCAACTGTGCCTGCTTTCGTGAAGCTCAAAGTGCTCAGAAGATAGAGTCCTGAAAGGGAGAAAATATTATGTAAGAAATTATTGCATGAATTTATGACGACCTGTTATTGGAGAGTTGGATATGGACTGTTCAGATAACAGAGGATAAACTCTGATTAGGCATGACTAGGAAGCTCTTTAGAATAGGAAAATTTTTCTTGCTGTTTCAGATTATTCTATTAGGTTAGGTAGGTGGAGCAGTGCCCAGACTTTATGCAAGACCAGTGCATTCCTTTGGAGCAAAAAGGAGAACACATTGACCCTAGAGCCGCTGTCCTTCCATGATGCAGCTTTATTCTCTGGTCTTGGCCTGTCTCACTGCTTGCACAGCTTGGGGTAAGTGCTTCTGAAACATAATTAATGGGGGTGGGGAGGCATAGTTAGAAGCCCTTGCCCAAAGTGGGTAAAGATATGCAAAGAACAAACACATGATGTCTGGTTTCACAGTGGTGCTCAGCTTCTGTACTTGAACTTGAATGTGAAAATATTCTCGCTACAAGGAAAATCAGAGTCAGATAAATAACCCAAGTCTCAGCTGTACAAATTAAACAGCAGAAGACAGAGAATCACTTTTAACTTCAACCAAGAGAAAGTAAGAGAGCCCAGTTTATATTTTCCATGATTCCCAGATCTGGCCACTTCAAGAAGATGGCTTAGTAGATCATTAAAAGCATGGACTCAGTAGCCAGCATGGTGTCTAGCTCCCAGCTCAGCCTTTTCAGCTGAGAGACCTTAGGCACCATACTTTTCTGTGCTTAGGTTACTCTATTTCTAAAATACATGTGACAATGATACCTCCGCCAGTGAGTTGTTAGTGAGCAGAAATGAGTTGTTATTCCTAAACAGCACAGAGGATGCCCAATCAGAAGAGATAAGGGAGTTGATTTTAGGTGGAGTGTATTAATAGAAATTTTTACATGTGGTAAATGAGGTCAGGATGGATTGGCCACCAAAAGGACAATTTGTTACAGTTCTCAAAGGACAGGTCACACTGATGAGTTGTGGGCCACAAGTAGAAGAACAGAGTATTTCAGGAGGCAAAGAAAGAAAGAGGGCACTTGTGCAAGAAAATTTGATGGGGATTCTACTAGAAGGAAAAGAAAATGCAGAGAAAGTTCAAATGGTTTTACTGAAGTCTGGGGTGCAGGAGCTGTGCTGGCTGCCTGGATGTGAGAGTTCAGGCAGGTGCATGTTGATTCAGGGTCTGAGAACCAGATATAAGAAGTGGTTGAGAGCTGGGTGTGGTGGCTCAAGCCTGTAATCTCAGCACTTGGGAGGCTGAGGCAGGAGGATTGCTGTGAGTTTGAGACCATCCTGGGCTACATAGTGAGTTCCAGGTCAATATAAACTACATAGTGAGACCCTGTCTAAAAAAACAAACAAGCAAAACAAACAAACAAACAAACAAACAAAAAAAGAAGAAGTGGTTGAGGTGTGGCCAAGAGATTGGCTGGACCCTAAGAGTGACAGTTCCTCCAGGATCAGCAGAGCTTGTAAGGTCAACACATCAGATACAAAAAATAAATCCACCTCTTAAAAAGAGACAGGGTGTATCACCTAAAGGTACACATTTTGTACAATGAGTGTTATCATTATGTATGCGTAAAATATACCAATAAATGTTTTGCTATAAATACAACAGAAATGTGTGATATTTCAGGGCCATAGCAAGGCACCTGAACATATGTCTTTGCCATTTTATAGTCAGAGAAATTGAGACTCAGGAACCACATACTTTCCCAGCATCAGGTGGAAAATCATGCTGTGTTCTATTTCTGCCTCCTGAAACCAGACCAGTGCTCAGACATCCACGACTTCATCATCTAGATCGTGTCTTCTCTCTGGCTGTGTGGCTATGAAAGGACTGGAAATGAAGTGCAAGAAGGGGCCTAGAATTAGAGTGAAGTATTCTTTTTAGCAGGTTACCCCAGACATGCAATCATATTTCTGTCTTAGGAAGTCTATGGGCCAATTCCAAATCCAGTTTGCTCTTCTGATCAGTGGGCATATTAATACATACAGAAAGCTATTTTCAGAGAAATAATTTAAAGAAAATGTCAGTCACACAGGAAGTGCTCACCCCATGCACACTTCACGTGACATAAATTGGTAACTCTTTTGATGATTCTTATTGTCTCATTTGCTCTGTACAACTACATTTTTACCTGGGAGAGTGTGAAGTTTTTCACTGGGTTCTCCCAAATTCATCTGGCTTGAAGGTTATCACTGACCAAACACAAGCCATATGTAATGATTTCTGCTTAGACTTTGTCCTCCCTGATTGCTTTGAAGCACTCAGCATTCCTGCCAAACCCTCCTCCTTCCTGGGCTGTTTTGACATTGTGCCCTTCTTGTGCTACCAATCTGGTAGGTGCAACTATCTCTGAGCTTTATTTTCAGCTTTTTCTCTTCTCTCACACAGGTCTGTAATGAAGTCACACACCATTATATGCACTGTTACCTTCAAGTGGAGGCCTCTGCCTGCCCCTCACCACTATCCTCCAGTTCTATAGTCCTCTGGTCCTGAGATGTTTTCTTTCTGGGATTCTCACTGACTTCCACACTGAACCCGTCTAATATAGAGCCAGCTTCTTATCCCTGTTCCCCAGTCCTTTCATTTCCCTCCACATCACCCAAATCTGGTCACGGGCCAAGACCTCCTTCACAATTCCTTCTTTACATCTCCATATATCTTCATACATTTTTTTCCTAATTTAAAAAGAGGAGCCAAAATTCAGTACAGAAATCTTTGCACAAAGAGAAAGAGAAGTCTGCAATGTCTTAGTCTGTGACCATCTCTGTGTACATGTTTTGCAATAAATATATCTTGGAACCTTTAGTAAAATAAACAATCAAAATGAAATAGCCATTGGATTGTTAATAATCTTGATTATCTGTAAGCCTTATTTTACACAGTTTTCAGTATTATTGGCTGTGCTTCTCTTAGAATGAATCTTATTTTTTTCTTTTCTGGTTATGAAATTTTAGGGAGATGTGGACATATAGGGTTTTTTTTTGAGGGGGAAGCAAATTGGGAGGGCAAGAGGCTGGAAATAATGTTCTGTGTGGAACATTAGGAATAGTTGAAGTTAGAGAGGCCACTGAGGAGGTAAGACTGCATGGGTAACTAAGTGTCTGAACATGCGCCTGGCTAGAAAGATGGTCAGGAAGTACACACAGGCTGCATGGCAGTGGAACTTAATGGTGAAGTGGAATCTGCGTGAGATGAGGAAGAATTTTCTGCTGCATAAGAGGAGAGGGGATGGAACAGACAGGGCACTGTCACACCTCTGAATAGACCTGCTCACACCAGAGAATACTATAGAAGCTTATGGTGTCCTTTACTTTAGAACTGTTTCTGCTCTAATTCACCCACTAAATAACCCCCGCCCCCAGCCTGTCTTGGTAAACCCCGATTCCATGCACCTGTGAATTCCAGGATGATTTCCATTCCCCACAAACTCCATGTTGTGGTTTTCCTGGGTCACCAATGGTGTGTGTTTAGTAGTCTCCAGGTTTCTGCAATTTCTATTTTTCCTGTTTCATCCTCCTCCTCTGTCTACACTTATTCTTTTCCTTCCTTAAATGGTAACTCTTTTGATGATTCTTATTTGTCTCAGTTGCTCTATGCAACCATATTTTTACCTCTCTGTTGCACTTCCCACCTCCTCCCTGACCCCACCAATCAAAGGGCTCACTAGCTCTTTTCCATCATGTGGCACCTTTCTCATTCCTCTCCAAGGGCACCATTTCTGTCAATCCAGCATTATCATCTTGAGTCAAATTGCTTTGTGACTTTTCCCCTGTGATGTCAGCCTCTTGAGCACATTCTCTCATCCAAACAGCTCAGCACCAGGGTGCTAATGGATACATGATTCTAAAACCTTGAAAGTAGGACCCCAAATGGTCTTATCTATTTCCACCATCATGCCTGCTGTTTAATTTACTTTTCTACTCCGGTTCTACTTAACTCCTTCCATTGGCATTCAGAGTAGGGAAAGATAGTGTTTCTCATCTGTGTAATACTAAGAAGAAACCAAGGCATAGACAGTTTAAGTGACTTGGACAAGATCACATGCCTAGAAAGAGGCAAAACTTACCAGGAATCTCAGCCTCATCTTTTCCTCTGTTGTGTCCTCATTTCCTGTCTATGTCCAGCAGGACACAAATCCTCACCACCTGTGGTGGACACTGTGCATGGAAAAGTCCTTGGAAAGTACGTCAGCCTGGAAGGAGTTGCACAGACTGTGGCCATTTTCCTGGGAGTCCCTTTTGCCAAGCCCCCTCTGGGATCCCTGAGGTTTGCTCCTCCACAGCCTCCGGATCCATGGAATTATGTGAAGAACACCACCTCTTACCCTCCCATGTAAGTTGGTGGGGATGGTTTGGGCATCTTTTAGTGGGGATATTTTCCTCAGATTGATGCATGAGTCAAGACAATATGCTGATTGGCTCTACTTTTGGAATCATCAAGAACCTTTGAAACATTCCAGAACTGTCACACCTTTCGGTTAGATTTCCCTTACCTTAAGATGGCTGCTACATGGAATAGCAGCCTCCATGTTAAAATATGATTTCTCCCAGCAAACAACAGGCTTCTTCTTCCCATCATGTGTCTTCTCCCGCCAAAAAAGGTAGCCTGATACTTGCTACCTCTTAGCAGCTAGTAATGTCACAGGCTCCTCCAATCTCTTAAAACTGCCTCACTCATCTCCACCCCAGCTCAGGCTAACACCACCCTGCTCCTATAAAAGAAGCTCTTTGTTCTGCTCAGAGACAGCCTGGCAGATCCTCCCCATAATAAAGCCTTGCTATGGTTTTAATATGGTCCTGGTTTTCCATTCTTTTTACCTAACATTTTCTAGAGCCTCTTATTCAACTCTTAGGTACTCAACACCTATTGTGTGCCAAACATTTTCTCAGTTCTTAAAATCCATTAGAGAACAAACCTTTTTAGAAATGGGCAGAGGGATAATAGTTAATATGGAAGGTTAAAAATTAAATTGGTAATAGGTTAAAATATGATATGATTTTTTGGGGGAAGAAAAAATAGCTAAAAAAAGTAAAAGGTAGTGTTGTGACTTCTTCTATCTTGAGACAACCATGCCTGGGTATTTATCTATAAATACTTGTGAAATGAAAGTCTTTCCAATTTTTGATGTTATAGTTGGGTGTTTATAAATATTACGTTCCTTGTTCTTAGAAAAAATTCCTTAGGATAAAAGTCTCAGTGTAATATTTGCTGGCTCTACTTCTGCCACTTAAGAGCTTTCTCAACCTGCCTCAGATCTTCTACATCCTGCAGGTTGCAGTTCCACCACCAGTGTCAAAAGACAGCTAGAAACGTCACTTTTAATGTACCAAGGAAAATAATCATAGATCTGGTTGCAATGCAGTCCTTGGAAGATTTTCTAACCTCTTTGTACATTGTCTTTCTCACATGTAAAGAAGAGATAAGAACAGCATCATGCTTTGGGTGGATGCTGTGAGGTGAAAGAGTTACTACATCAAAAGAATTTATATCAGGGCCTAGCACCCAGGGGAACTTAGAGCTTGTTGCATGTTGTAATCTGAGTTGGATCTTAGAGACCTCTTCTCAGGGGAGCCAACAGTTGTTGCCTGGGGCAGGGTGATGATGGAATGTTAGCATGGCAGGGTTGTAGGACCCTTACAGAACTGGCAGATTGGCCCAGAGCAATACTGAGGCAGTACTAGAAGGCAGTTTTCCTGAAGTTATCTTCCAAAATTTTAATCCTGATCTGCTGAGGTTAATTCTTTTTTTTTCAGCTTTAATTGAATTTATTGGTACATTTTAGGGATACAGTACAGTTACATTCATTGTTGGGATCTTGTTGCTGAGGGTAATTCTTACATTTGAGGTCATTCTTGTTGAAGGAAGTATACCCAGGACTAGAACATGATTACCTGGTAGAAGAACATGGTCATTGTGCAGCCCAGCAGAGAATGCTGTGCTTTCCAGGTGTATAGGAAATGACATTTCCTTGGGCAGAATGCACACGGGAAACCTCCATGTCCCTGAACCAGTGCATTATGAAAGCTGCTGAAAAGGATAAGGTGGGAAGTCTTTCTCCTTCTGCCTGAGCTGGGGAGACTCTAGAGTCCCAGGATTCCTACCAGGGTCTGCAGACAGCTTTCTACCTATTGAAATCATTCCAGTCCAATGATAATAACTTCAATTACAAGTTTAAACCGCCCTGTACAAAGTCAATCTGCAGGCGCCATTTGCAGTTTCTACCTGGCTGAACCTCAGGTGTTTTTCTTTCCCTCTGCTAGGTGCTCCCAAGATGCCAAAGGAAACCAGGTGATTTCTGATCTCTTTACCAACAGAAAAGAGGGCATTGCCATCTGGTATTCTGAAGATTGTTTGTATTTAGATATTTACACTCCAGTTTACTTGAGGAAGAAAGGCAGTCTGCCGGTAAGCGTGGCACCACTGGTCGAGACTTGTGAAGTTCAGTATCTGGGATCTTTGAATGCAGAATAGAAGGGGATGAAGATAGCTTGACCGAGGGTACCACAGGCTTTGACAAACTGGGTGATTCAGAGCTTTTTTTTCATCACAGAAAATGCAAGTTTTCATTATTTTGTTTTCCCTTGAAAATCTCAAGTACCTGGGAGGAGTTTGGTTTATATCTGGAATGCACACCTTAATCCTTCTAAATTTCTGCACACTAATAGAAGAATAAGAGTGAACACCCAGTTACTAGATTAAGTATATGTTTGCCAAAGCAGGTAAGCATAATTTTCAAGAATTGGAGCTGGAAGGATACTTAGAGAAAATGGAATAATCTAATAATTTCTTTCCATCAGGTAGAAAAACTAAGGCCCAGAGGGAGAAAGAAAGTCACATGATATGATTGTCAATACAAGAACTGCAATTTCTGATTTTCAAACCAGTGTCATTTTGGCAGAGAGTAGGAAGTAGATAGAGCATGTGTCTCATCTTTCTACATAAGGTACCTGCAAAGAGTTTCGCTGTCTTGTGAAAGCTTTTACTGCCTAGTGACTGCATTGTTGTGGCTGGAGCCTAGAAAATCCTCTTAGAAATTTACTTATTTCTGGCCAATTCTGTGCCATTTTATGCTAGGTTTCTTCTCTCCTTAACTACCTGGGGAATAGGCTGATGTCCCAGTGACTCAGCATTGTCCAAAGAACAGAAAACCAAAGGTGAGGTAAACTGCAGTTCCATGTTGGGGGTGGCAGGAGGAGTGCAGGAGGGCATGCTGGCAAAGAGGCAGTCCACAGTCCATGAGGTGGTACAGGGAGGGTGCCAACACTCAGCTAGTTTTCTGCGAGCACCCTGACATGGAGCACCTGAATGGCTGGGCAGGACACCATCTTAGAAGTTGGTCTTACGTGTGCTTGGGGGGACAGATTTTCCCTCATTCATTCACTTCCTTCTATTACATACTGAGTGTCCACATGCAGACAGTTAGATTTGGGGGTTACAAAAAGGAGGAAGAAACTCTGAGAACACAGCCCAGCATTGAAAGATCTTTTCCTTTAGGTTGCACAGACACTTTGTACCTTCTCCAAGCATATCATTGCAGACCAGCCCTTGAGTTCAGCCGTCATTTAGAGAAGATTGTGTCTTAAAGTGGGCCCTTGAGACAAGCGAGAAACAGGAGAAAGGGTCCATAGGAGGCTAGGGGCAGGAGACCCCTGGGTAGGGAACACAGGCTCTGGGACTATTGGGGTTTAAATCCTAAGTTTGCCTTTGAATAACCTAGAGCCTCTGTCAATTTCATAAATTCCTTCAATGTCTGTTTCCTCAACTGAAAATAATTTCATAACAGTATTCATTGAGGACTGTTAAGCTTCACTTGGTCTGGGCGATTACACAGAGCAAGCACTGATCACATACTCGGTGGAGCTAAAGAAGGATCTTCCTATTGCCCTCACAGCCAGGTTGTTTCACTGCAGTCAGTAGGCCGCTCAGCCCATGAGCGCTGGGGCCAAACTTCCAGGCTAAGTCTTGCTGCTACTACTTATTAGCTATAGGTCTTGGTCAAGGAAGTACCCCACCTTACCTGTCAGATGGGACATTATTAGTATCTACCTTTTGGATAGGTATTTCCGAATGCTTACAACAGTTATTGATATGTAGTTGATGTAGTAATCGGTTTTCTATTAGCAATATTATTAGTATCATTTTACCAACTCTTCTTTATTCCCTGGTATGTGAAATTTTAAATGCAAGACATGATTTAAAAATTGTGTTCTTTACTGTACTGTCATTTTCAATTCTCAACACAGTCCCAGGCACATAGTAAGTCTTTACGTAATGCTAGTCAGTGTTCCAAGACTTTCTGCAAGAGGCAACTGTGAGGCTGGGCTGAGGAGCACCTATTGGATTTAGGCTGCGGAGGAGGCAAAGTGGCACAGTAGGAACAGACTCATTGAAGATGTTAATTATCGAAATAATGGAACAGTGCAGGAAGTGTATTTCCCCACTGAGGGGTTAAGTGAGATGAAGCTGAAACTCAAGGACTTTTTGGATATTGAGTGTGGTCGTATCCTGGCCCCTGCTGGGAGAATTGGAGAGGAGCGAGAGACAACCTTTTGCAACATTGCTGGGGTTTGGTAGACTTTGTTTCATGGCCTCCTTAAGTCACAGCCACAATGTTACAAGTGACCAAATCAGAAAACCTCCTATGTCTTTTCCAATAGCATTTTGTGTAATCAGTGTGGATGTGTCCTCCTTGTCCAGGTGATGGTGTGGATCCATGGAGGTGGTCTGGCATTGGGTGGGGCATCCACCTATGATGGACTGGCCCTCTCTGCCCATGAAAATGTGATAGTGGTGACCATTCAGTACCGACTAGGCATCTGGGGATTCTTCAGGTAAGCTATTAGACTCTTCTCTCTCACATTGTCTTCTGGGTTGGTTTGCTTTATGTTGATGTAACAAAATATCCAAGACTTGGATAATCACTTTTAGAAACAAAATTATTTAGTTCATTGCAACATCAGGTTGTTTCATCTGATTGGTCTCTGATGAGAGACTCTTGGCTGTATCACAACATGGTGAAAATCAGAAAGGGAAGTTTCAGCAGACAGATTAGATCACAGGACCAGACAGGAAGTCACAGAGCAATGTCTGAGACCATCTTACTCTTTTATTACAACTCACTCTTTAGGGAGCTCATGAGTCTCTCGTGAACTCTATATTAATATCTTCTAAAGGCAGCAGCCCACAAGACCTCACCTTTTATGGGTTCTATTAACTCTTAATACTGGCACATTAGGGATCAAAGCTTCAGCACATGAACCCTTGGAGGACAAACCACATGCTAACCAAACCACAGTAGAAGTCATAGCCATGATGTGAGGTCCCAGCTGTACTCATGCCATTTAGCAAAGTGCTCTTTTCTAAAGATCTTACAAATATGTCCAGTCCCTTAATTAATTAGTTCCCAGTGAACTTTTCATTTATCATTCACACTTGTCTATTTGCTTCTGAGCTTTTGCAGGGACTGTGCCCCTGGAACGTTCATTCTTCAAGAGCCAGCCACATGTTCCTTCTCCGAAATACTCACCTCCTTTTCACCTTTGCTATCTACCAGTGCACAGCAAAGCTTCAAAAGTTCTCTCTGTTCCTCAGTTCTCCTTCTATGATCAGAGAGAACATGCATCAGATCAATGAAGTGCTGTACATCTTCTTCTGGGAAAGTAAGGTGGGGCAGCCTCAAGGAGGGATTGCAATGAATGCTCATGCAGGCAGGTTTTCAACTAACCATGCTGCCAGGCTGTCCTCATAGTTGATAGTGATCTTCACCAGTGCCTGGATGGGACCTCCCTGTACCACTCACCAATAGCTACTCCTTCCTCTCCGAACTGCTTCATTCTCCTAGCTCTGATCACTTCCCACCTCCTGGCATGTTCCTCCTTAGCCATTCATAAGTCATTCTCCTCCCCTACCCTGAGCTTCTCTGTCCCCCTGTCCAGTGAACCCTGGGTAACCCCAGAAGCACTTTAAGAGCTCAATTTTGTAGCATCCACGCCACGTGCCATCTTTGGCTACCTTCTCCCATCTTCCTCCATGTCTGCAAGATGCTTCCCTCTTTATATTGTCAGCACTTTATGTCTAGTACCTCTCACTCAACAATGAATCTTCCTCTCTTCCCACAAGTGCTCCTGAGTAGCTCTATTCTCCATTTTTCTCAGTACAAAGCCCCGGTGGGCAACCTGGACTCATCTCTTTTTCTTGCAACCAACATCCACATGGCCAGCAAAGCCTGTTGGCTCCAACTTTTAAGGGTGTATTCACACGCCTACTTCTAACTTATCTTTGCTTGCACCTATCAAAGTCCTGTGCCTCTGATAATTCCTCTGACTCTTCCTCTATGCTGAAATGTAACCACATTTTTATAAATTTGCTATTTTGAGGAATAGTTTCAATGACACTGGGACTCTTAGGAAGGTTCTTAAGTTACTTGCTATGTTTTAGATATTTTTGCCAAGGCTTGCAGTAGGCTCTTTAGCTGCAGTTACACTAGCCACACTCAACTTTTTTTTCTTTTCCTTGGGCTTTGTGGAGCTGCTACTTTTCCTAAATGAAATTCCCTTCATTGGTAATTTACAAGACCCATATACTATTTTATTCTGATCTCGACCAAATGCTACTTCTTTAGGAACACTTTCCCCGGTTCTGAAATGCAAAATACCATTACACTGTCCCATATCTCTTTCATCCTTTATTAGGGTTTCTTTTCCTCAATGTGTTTTCATTAGTTCACACTATATTTCTTTTATCACCTGTTTATTTGTGATCTGTAGTGTGACATGGTGTAGCCAGAGATATTTTTTGCTCATTTTTTATCAAAGATGTGCTGTAGCTCTTGTTTGAGTTTTGGATACATTGTAGATGCTGTTTGCAGTAGGTAAAAAGCATGATCCCTCCTAAGAACACATTAGGAAGACCCCTGTATCAGACATGCAGATTTTAACCTCTTTCTGGAAGACTAAATGAAAGACCCTACACCACTTCTATTCTGAGAACACTGCTGCAATATTTTTGTTTCCCTTTTTCACTCTGTCTCTTGCAGCACAGGGGATGAGCACAGCCCGGGAAACTGGGGCCATTTGGACCAGGTGGCTGCACTGCTCTGGGTCCAGGACAGCATTGCCAGCTTTGGAGGGAACCCAGGCTCTGTGACCATCTTTGGAGAGTCAGCAGGTGGTGAAAGTGTCTCTGTTCTTGTAAGTGTTCCTGATACCAGGCCTCAGCCCCAGTCTCGATGTGATTGCTGATTGGACTTTTTGGAGACCAGCTAATCTAGTCACCTGCCCCTGTCCTTGCAAGACCTGAATTCAAAGATGAGTCTACTCAATGTCCACCATCAGCTTGTGAAGAGCCAAGGCCCAATTCTATTTTTCTCTCTGTCTTTCTTTCCCTGATATTTTACTATGTTTAAAGTGTAGTGTGACATAAACATTTCTTTAAAAATTAAGCCTTCTTATGTAATCTTATATTTTATTATTGCATAATATTCTATATTAAGAATCAAAAAATTTCATATATCTAATCTGATAATGTTAGAGTTGTGGCTTCTGATAATAAAACTGTTATAATATTAAAACTGTCTGGGGATTAGGCTCAGCTTAATATTATGGAACAATGAGAATCTCTACCTTCAGCCTGCAGTAGGTATATTTCTCTCCTTTCCACTTGATTGAGTTTCTGTACCGCTTCTTAACCATTTTAGACATTAGGCACCACCTTACTTTTCTTTGGAAGTAGGGGTGGATAGCAAGAGGTAAGAACATGCACTAGATATTGTGCCATTTGGCTCCAAGCCAGATGTTGAGGGGACTTGGGCATTGAGAGCAGTCTGGTGCTTTGTGAAAAGTGTCCTGAACTCATCCATGCCCAAAAGGGTGGATAGCACACTTTGCGACCATTGGGCAACAAATAGTTTGGGAAAGCAAGTGAGCAGAAGGAGGAATGGAAGTTGGAGTAGTGGAGGGGTGAATTATGGAGTTCAAGGTACAGGCCTAACCTTGAGTCATGAGATGTCTTGCTGGTGGGGGGAATGGGGTTGGGGGACACTATGGAAGATACTGAGGGTTCTGGGAGCCAGAAGACATGATGTAAGTACTCAGTGTAGAGTTTAATGTCAGCTCAATTGCTATATTTTTACACCAGGTGTTGGTTTCATAGTTGAATACTCTGAAGACAATGTCAATTATTTTCATAGTAGATAAGAAGGAAAATAGTAGAAGAAAATAGTGATCCACATTCTCACCCTCCATGAATAGTCCCTGGGGATTTTTGCACTGTCTTTCCACAGTATTTTGCACAGATTATATGTATGTATGTATGTACCCATGTATCCATTTGTCATTCTTTCTATCCATCCGTCCATTTCCTTCTCCCTCTCTGTCTCTCTCTCTCTCTCTCTCTCTCTCTGTTATGTCTATCTTTCTCTCTGTCTCTCTCTGTTATTTCTATTTTTATTTTTTTTCCTCATTGAGTATATTGGTACATTTTAGGTATACAGTACAGTTACATTTATCATTGGGATCTTGTACCTTTACATGAGAGGTCTTGGTTCTCATTTTTCCCCTTGTCCATGCCCTCCCTTCACCTCCTCCTCCCTTCACCTCCTCCTCCTCCCTTCCCCATTTACAAACACTTTATTTCCATTTTTTAATTTTCTCATTTTTTTTTCTTTTCCCTTTTTACCTTTCCCCTACCCTTCCCACTTTCCCTACACCTTTAGCCCTTTTCTTCCTATTTCACATTGTCAATTATCTCATTAGGATTTTAATGTACTATTATAGTTTATTCACACCAGAGAAACTATTTGGTATTTACACATGTGACTTATTTATTTCACTTAGGAGTATATCCTCAATATGTATCCATTTTCCTATGGATGAATGTAATTTCTAATTCTTTATGCTATTTCTATTTTTAAAGTGTAGTGTGACATAAATGTTTCCTTAAAAATTAAGCCTCCTTATGTAATCTTACATTTTATTATTGCATAATATTCTATATTAAGGATCAAAAATTGTTTGTATACCCAATCTGACAATATTAGAGCTGTGGTTTGCTCTTATTTTTTCTTACTATATACAACATGAAAATTCCAAGATATTACTGTGCACCTTCCTGATCACTTTTTGTTGTTTTTCCTTCCCTTCCTTTTTCTTAATTCTTTTTTCTTTTGCTTGAGCAGCATATCAAACTCAGGGTCCTGGGTTCTACCCTAAACAACACTTTCATAATAATTACTTTTCCTTGAATAAGTTCTCAGTAATGGCAATTCTGAAACAGAATCTGTGGCAAAGAATGTCTAAAGGCTTTTCCCAAATTTTGGTTGTTGTCATGGGCACACACCACTCACTTGTAGTATTATTATCCCTTACTCTGGGCTCTGGTTCCACCAGTCCAAGGTTCTCCTCAGGAAACTGGGACCAGAGAAAGCCTCGAAGTTAGAGGGAAATTTGAGGAGCTGTCATATCTACCAAGTGATGATGGCTTTAGGTGAATGGCCAGGCAGAGGAGTGGGTAGAGGGAGTCTCAGAGAATATGTGAATCATTGACTCCTTGCACCAGGAGTATCAACTCTTCTCCTCTCCACTTCATCCCAGGTGTTGTCCCCCCTGACCAAGAACCTCTTTCACAGGGCTATTTCTGGAAGTGGAGTGACCACAGTTGCTGGTATGGTCATGAAGGACGCCAAGCATTTGGCTGAGGTAGGTGTCACTTTGGATATCCATGTATTTTCTTCTGCTCTCCTGGAATCCACAGGTGCCTTTCTTGTAAGATTGTGTTGAGATGCTCAAAGGATCACTGAAGTCAGAATGGGTGACCAGGGAGGGCTACTGTGGGACTCACATTTAAAATACATTTCATGCTTTATAGAGTATTTTCCAGTGAATCATCATATCTAGACCTCTCACAATTCTCAGAAAGCCTTAGTGCTGTGTGGGAGACATAGCACACACCTCAGCACTCACCAATATTAAGTCACTGTACAAAAGAAATACGATGACTACTTTAACCTACAAATAAGGGTGTAAAGGTATAAAGACATTGAGTGACTTGCTGAAGATCAAATAGCTAGAAGGTAAAGGAAATGAGATTTGACATCAGACAGTGAAACACTGCATGTGATTTCTGTGTGCCAAGAGGAGGAATCTGTCTTGACACATTGATACATGAAATATTAGATATAATATTATATATTATATAATACAATATAAATAATATATATTATATATAATATATATTATCTTATATATTATATTATAATATTTTATATATTATATATTAATATATAATTATATTATGTATTAATATATATCATATATTAATATAGTCTATATTATATAATATAGACTATATTAATATATGATATATATTAATACATAATATAATTATATATTAATATATAATATATAAAATATTATAATATAGTATATAAGATAATATATATTATATATAATATATATAATATTTAGGTAGTCATGCCAAAACTCAATGCTCATTAAAAGAAGCAGCACCCTGTGTACCCCCAGAATCCATATCTACTGGTCTAGAGTATTTACAGCTACCTGCAATGCATTTTATAAACTGGGTTTTGAATAAAACTCCTCTGTCTACACTGATGGAGGGAAGGGACATTGCCCTGTAACTCTGATTTCACTTGTCATCACTACAGAAAACTGCTGTTGCTGCTGGGTGTAAAACCATCACATCAGCTGTCATGGTTCACTGCCTGTGTCAGAAGACAGAGGAAGAATTGTTAGAGGTCTCACAGAAAATCGTAGGTGCCTTCATTTCGCTGACCCCACCCTGTATACTTGACCCCATGCTTTATCGCTTCATTAAACCATCTGAGACAGTTTCCTACCTTCAGATACAAACTGGAATTTTCTTTTTCCTTTTTTGTTATGAATTGGCATGAATGTCCCAAAATATCCAATAATAACATGATGAAAAATGACATAACTATTCCTTAGCTCTTCCAATTAGAATATGTTGATATTCTTATTTGCAGATGTATTTTAAGAATTGAATATTTTATATTACTACATCCCCACTATTCGGGGGAATAGTGGGGATGGAGATATTAAGTACAATTTTTTTTTCAAAAAAGAATAACAGTTAATCTTGGTGGATTTAGAAGCTATACAAATACCTATACAGCAGTGGCCCTGTTTACTAGATTTTGGTATCTATCCATCATTCATCTATCATCTATCATCTATCTATTTGTTCATCTACCCATCCTTCTGTGTGTATAATTAATAATTTCTCCAATGTAGTACTTATCCTTCTATAAATTTTCATTTATCTATTTTCAATCTGTTCATCCCAGCATGTAGCAACCAGCATGTGTCCGCACTTCTTCACCCAATACTCCAAAAGCACTGACACACCCATCACCTATCTGATAATTGCTGTCATCTGCTTGTCCTTGTATTCATCCAGTTGTAGTTGCACTGAGCAACCCATACATTCATTTCTCCATGCTAAGTGTAAGGGAGGGTGCTGTCAGGGGAGGTGATCTATACATGTATTGACCATAGTCCCTTCACAAAGAACTACCAAAGGAAAAACAAAACCAGGTACTTAGTGGGTTAAGTTTAGTGGGAATACAGAAGGCAGACATATTCATAATAGCCAGCATAGGTGCTTCTCAGGGAAGGTGACATTGGTGCATTCATGGATGGTTATGGCCCTTCTATTATCACAGAGGTATTTGGCAGGACAAACATCCAAGGACAAAGCACCCAGGGCCCATGCAAACTTCTCCCTTTGTATAGAAAATTTTGAGCTCAGGAGTTACCTGAGCTTCTCAGTTCTCTATTTGGGTCTCAACACAAGAAGAAATGTCTGAAGTCCAGGGCAAGTGTCTAGCTCTGTGTTTTGCAGGTGAGTACATGAATAGATACTAACATGGCTCTTGGGCTTGGGTCCTGGTTCATCAGGCCAAATGTCAATCACTATAGTCTAAGAATTAAGGTACAGCTGCTTTTCTAATTTTTGATAGAGGAAATTTTTTTCATTCAGGCACAAGAGCACCCAGATTATGCAGGGATATTTGGTAATGGGAAAATCCAGAGAACCTGTGATTTTAGGACATCTATCAGAGCTTTTAGGGAAGTGCTTCCATGAACACCATTACCCTCAGTACATACGCACACACACACGCTCACACACACACACACACACACAACTGGCTTGTGGAGGCTACTCCTTATAATGGAGACATCTCCAGGGGTTGCTATCCCCATATCTGGGTAAAATATTTTAGCAAATGTAGACAATTCCAGTCCCCATTAATCCCTATAATCCTGGTGAATGCACAACAAAGAAAACTGTGAGTTGGTACGAGACTGAGTTTGTGTAAGTTAGAGTTTCCTAATGGAGAATTAGAAAACTAATTTCAGAGTGACTGAAAGAGAAATGGATTTTTATGTAAAACAATCTTGACTGGATTCATGAACTATGAAGATATTATTGAAAATTTACCTGTCTGTATGACTCAACTAAAACTCTTCTTTATTGGTCTCTCTCTCTGAAGTACATTTATCCCTTGGTTAAGTAATAAGGCAACAACATTCTGGACATATATAGGTTTAGAAATCATCTACCTTAAAATTACAAATTTGCTTTGGTGTACACTCGGTTGGACTGATCCTGGCAAGTCCATGGTCTTTGGAGTGCAAATTCCTGAATCAGAAGCGTGAAGTGTCCTACCTGCCCCAAGCCTGGAGGTGCTAGTACCTTCCTAAATCCTTCAGAACACTCAACGCAGAGTGGCCAGTCCCCACATCGCTACGTATGGTGGTGAAGGGAATGTGCACAAAGTATCACCGTATGTTTGCAGAGAGCCAGCAATGAAGGAGCATAAACCATATCAGAAGGAACTGAAAAGCAATGAGGGATGTCAGGAAAGCATCCTGTGAAGCTGTTTGCAGAAGAGGTTCCTCTTGTGGCAAGAATTTACCTGGTTCACATTTCTCCATCCACCCGAGACACATCTGTTATCTGCCCAGCTGTTAGAGAGCTCCGCCCACACATTCCGGAAGGAAACCGTTAAACCGTTAGATTTGCACCAGTGAACCTTTCAACAGATCAGACCACCAGTAAACCGTTCAACAGCTCAGGGTTGAGACTCTACATGACTTTGGTCGGCAGGTCTGAGTCTTTCTGCTGGGACTAGGCTGTGAGCAACTTGGACGTAGAGATGCAGTCCCTGTATGAACTTAATAGATGAAGATCATCACTCTGAGTGGTCTCTGGATGTCTTCACTGCAGGCCTCGCTGTACCTTATGGAGACTGAGCATTAGGACAGAGGAACACGCTCCTTCCATGTTCTACCCGGCCCATCAGCTTAACTAGCTTGTGGTACTTATGTGGCAGGAGCCATGGTCTGTGTCCCGCTCTTCCACCTTCCAGGACATACCTTAGTGTCTGGAGAGAACCCAGCCGCTGCGAGACATAGCCCCTCCTGAGGCCAGAGTCCCAGCCATGTGCCACCTTCTCCTTAGCACCCGAGGCACCAGGGCTACTCTGCGTCCCAGGGCCCAGCCACTCCTGCCAGTCTTGACTCCATTGTCATGGCTCGGCCCACACTGGGAACCAGCACAGGTATCCAGGACCCCAAGGCAGCACTTGGCTGTAGGGCAGCCAGCAGCACCACCAGCCAGACCTGTAGGATCAGTGTCTACTTCCCCCAGCACCCCAGATGCAGCCCATTCCCATGGATGGGCCAGGACACGTTCCCTCTTTGCCTGCAGAAGCTGAGCCTGGTATAGGACACTCGGCCACAGGATGGAGGCCCCGGGAGCTGTGTCTGTGGCTGCCCTGTATGCCCCACAGCACGGGAAATGCTCTCTGGAGAAATGGCTGCTTCTCGCCCTGCCTCCTGAGCCCTTCTGTTTTTCCATGAGGACCAGCACCCACAGGGAAGGGAAACGCGTGCTGGAAGCTGAGTGCTCTCCTCCTGGACGGGCTCTGCCCCCAGACACTTGGACAGGCCACTTCTAGCCTCCTTGTGCCACAAATCCTGTGTGACCGCCCCTTCCCCTGTGCGCTCTGGGTTGAGCAAAGCCTGGGAGCCAGGCAACACTTGCTGTGGGAACCCAGGGCAGGCCCTCGACACTTCTGAGTCCCCCTCTCCTCTAGGGACCGCCTTGGGGCTGCATACAAATGTAAAGGTCACCAGACTTTGAGTCACATCTCAGGTTCCCTTGTCCTAAGACGTCTCTGTGCCACTGGTCCTACTGCTGCCTTACGGAAGGGAAGCCCTGCAAAGATGGGCTGAGCCAGATGCGGGGGAGGCACCACTGGTTTTCCTCAGCTCGGTTTTCGAGTTTTTGTTCCTGTCATGATGGAAGTGGGGATGAGTGAAGGAACAAAGGGTGAAGGTGGCTCGCGTTCCCTTCACCTCCACCACACTGCATCCCTTCTAGACACCAGAGCCCACACCACGCACAGAGCAGACAGAAGCCATTTCCCTCTTGGGAAAACATAGATTTGTATTGGGCTACAGTAAATATCTAGGATACATGAGAAAAGTCATTTTCTTAAACGTAGGTAATTCTTCTCCGGGACATGTGTTGTTCTACCAAGAAAGACTAGGGAGAAATGTTTCTGCTGTCCAGTCAAGACGCTTCTCCAAAGACCATGCCTTGGGCAGTAATGTTGATGGCCTAGTGCCCGGGACACTGTTGGGCTCCACTGGGAGGGGCTGCCTGGGGATTCAGACGTGATGGGGAAGAAGGGGTGCGGATGCCTCCACCCCTGCTGCTCACTGTTGAGCTGTCCAGTTTTCAGGGACTCTTGGTCACGGGGGTGCCTCTCCCTGGCAGGACAGCAGTGGCACTCGGGGCTGGCTGCATCTTCTGGCTTTTCCTGTGCTCTGAGCAGCAGGAAGCCTGGGAGATTGGAGCATGACCTTCTTCTTCTTCGCGCTGATTTAACTTCATGGCGCAGAGTTCATGCTGAAGCATCATTTTGGCTTCTAGCATGTGCCCAACTGCTCTCACAAGCAGCTCAGCCTTATCAGTGTCGTGGTCCGCACGAGGTCTGTTTTTGGCCGGTCTCTGGCTCTGGACAGTGGCAGGTACAGGCTTGCCTATTTTCTGGTTGTCTCCCTGCCTTTTGATTGCTTTATTTTGCAAAAAACACTGTAGAAATTTTTTCATGCTTCTTTGGACTGAGTGACTTCTGGAGACTCCTGGATCCTGCAGGGCAGGTCCCGCTGGTGTTGAATGAACCACTTCTGCCAGTTTTTCCCAGAGCTCAGAGCTGATAGCAAAACTCTCAGGAAGGATGGCAGCAGCACCCTTGCCTTGGGGAAGATTGGGAGTGCAGGGACGGTCATCCTCCTGAGGGCTTTGGACTGCTGAGGGATCAGCCCACCTGTGTTCTAGGTGTTTCTTGGACAAGGGCCTTTCTGGGTGTTGAATTTCAGTTGGAATGAGTGACGGTGGGTTATTATGGGGTGTAAAGCAGGAGGTTTCACAGCCCCTATTGAGGGCCAGGGAAGGTGCTAACAGAACTGGGGGAGAGGATTGAGGGTGGGTCCAAGTCTGGGTCTGACCTAGAGGTAGGCGCTGGGATTGGGGTGGGGATCGGGGGTCCAGACAGGATGGGGCCGGGGCCGGGGAAAGCAGGGGCTCTGGGGTCTGAGAGGCGGTGAGGGATGTGGGTGAGCAAACAAAATCACAGGATGTTTCAGGCGGGCCTGGCGATGGAGAGGAGGCCCGAGGTGGAAGGTGCTGAGTGAGAGCAGAGGGGGCAGCCTCTGCCAGGGACAGAGCAGCAGGGTCTGCGTTTTCTCCATATGGCTGCGGGGCTGTGACAGGTGCTGTTGTGCGCGCATCCGCAGGGCAGTGTTGGTATACGGGCTGTTGAGAGCTTCCTGGGTCAGGGAGCAGCCTCTGCAAGCTGGAAAAATAGGAGGCATAGCTGCAGCCAGTGGCTGGGTGAGCTCAGGTGGGCCATGGCTCTTCCACTGCCCCATACCCTGATCTTTATAGTTTTATTGCTACTCCTCTCCCCAGGGTCGTAACATCCCCCACTCCCGGGATCTCCCCCTCCCGGGTTAGACCAACGCTGCTTTGTGACATCACAAGCCTTGGTGGGAAGGAGAAAGAGGAAATTTCTTTACCTTTTCAGAGGGGAAGTTAGGGTTTTATCGAACCTCCGAGAAATCTGGCAGTCTGTAAAATGTGGGAAGTGGGAAACTGGATTATAAAGGATGAGTAGTATACAGGGGCTTGGGATTTTACAGGATGTGCCCTTAGAGGACACCATAGGAGGTGAGGCCCCAGGGCCCAAGCATCAGTGTCCCGTGTCCTCTGGCCCTGGCTGACAGTGGTTTCGTGGTACACAGATGGGCAGCGCTTTGTCAGTACAAATTGCTTCCACACCCTTCCAAACCCATGGTCCTCACAACTGTGTGTGCTGGACCAATGGGGTCATCCCACAGAGGAATCAACCTCAGCCAGTTGTAACAGTTGGGCCTCAGTTGGACCTGGAAGTCCCACCTCCAAATCCAGGCTGCTGCTCCTCTGCTGCCTGCACTGCCCCCTACTGGACAAAACCCTTCTTTGTCCCAGCGCAGCTTCGTTCTGAGCAGGGAGCCTGAGAAGCATCCACTCTGCTGATTGCAGTTCCAGGAGCCCCTCTCTGCAGCTGCCATCCTCGGAGCCCTGGCATTGGTCCTCAGGGATGAGCCCGTGTCACTTCCGGAACTGAAAGACTGAAAGGCAGAGCTCACCTCTGAGAGCACCTGTCCTCTTCCTACTCCTGTTCTTCCAGCTCATCAGCCCAGGACGCTGAGAAAGAAGGGAAGTAGTCAGAGGCCCAGGCCCGGATTCCCCTCTCTCTCAGACAGGCTGCAGACATTCAGTATCCATGAATGTTGTGCTACTCAACAATTAATTAGGAGCCTGTGTTTTTTCTTTCCTTTTACTCATTTTTAAAATTACAATATTTTTGTCCTTCTTGTGGAAACACAGCAGCTAACATGACATCCCCTATAAGAGATCTTTGATCCTCTGCTCAAAAGTTCACCTCATTTCATCTTTCAAAGCTGCATCTCACCTGCTAGAGACCAGAGGCAGCTGCAGCCTGGGATGGGGCTGAACTTAGGCCCTCAGCACAGCTGCTGGTTCAGCCCAGCACAGAGCAAAGACTGGGCCCAGAGGCATCTGCCGCGAGCCTGGGACACTGAACCAGTGCTCAGGGCCTGGCCCTCTCCAAAGATCCCCACCTGTCAGGAATCCAGTCCTCATGCACCGAGTTACTGTGTTCTCCTTTACTCTGGACAGTAAACCACAAAGAGATCTGAGCGCATCAGACAGATGTCCTGGTGCCCACTCTCCCTGCCCTGCCCTGCCTGTCCCGGGGGAAGGATATTCTGTTCTTTTCTGAGTTTTCCTTCTCAGCAGTCTTGTCTACTTGACTTGGAAAAGTAGACACTTGTAAAAGTAGAGAGATTCACTGTTTGCTGGGCCTGGGCTGAGAGTGTCTTACCTTTCTGATGTTTCTGTTTCTCCTGGATGGCGGTAAGGATGGCTCGCCCTAAAGCCAGGGCAGTAAGAGAAGGAGGAGCCCCAGTCCACACACAAAGGCGAGGATCATATCCACCGTGAAGGTAGTGGCGCTGGGGCTCCGCCATGTGGCACTAAGGCTTTTCAGCGGAATGAGAAAATTCTCCATTATCTGAAATGCAGTGTGGCTCTCAGGCAACTGAGCCCTGAGAGTTCTGTCTGGGGTAGGCAGGAGGGCCCAGGCCTGCATCACTGAGCTGTGTTCTCCCCATCACAAAAGGCTCACGGGGTGGTGGAGGGGCAAGGAGCAGAGGCTCAGGCACAGGCAGCCCAGCCCCTTGTTTCAGGGACAGTGGATGCTGCACCCTCCTGGGCCTTCTGCTCCTCTCCTTCTGCCTCCACCTGCCCAGCCCCTCAGAGTCAGACGCTAATGTATTTTCTGTTCGTTCCTCCTGGAACTCGGGTATTACCTGGCTCTTGTATTCCATTGAGATCCTGGCTGATGCTAAAGTTTCCATATTTTTATAAGTGGGTAGCATTTATAATTCTTAAACTGTACAAAGTGGCATGACG